TACAAAACGAAGGAAAATATGGTTTTGCTTGGTCACCTCTGGCTTTCTTCCATTATCAGGTTAATAACTCGGTTGTTTTATTCTCACCACCTCCCTGTATTTGATGTTATCAAGTAAACGGTTCACAGCTTGTGAAGCACGGCTGTCCACTGAAAGTCAAATCAGTCCTTCGTTCTGAAACACCCCCAAACGCTCACTCTGCCTCCTCACTGGCTTACATTTCAGAAGAGTTTATTTCTAAAAAGGCTTTTTATTGCCTGCAGGCTGCCAGACAGCCACAGTACAGTTTTATCCTCCGTCCTTGTGGACATTTTTATAGCTCTTTCTCTAAGGCGAAAAAAGCATTTTTGCCATTCTGCAATCTTGTGAGCCAGATGTTTGTAGACAGTTTATTGCTGGTTGGATGCAATTATTCAAAATCTGAGAACATGTTGCTGCAACAACAAGTTCTGGTGCAAGAGCCTTCAAACACTTCTGAAGGCTTTACACATCCAGGCTGCCAGCCTTTCTAGTAGCCGTGTAAACAAGATGTATGAATCCAAGCCCCTCGTTTTGAATTGAATGTTTGGTAAAGTCAATAAAATTATAAACGACATATAATTTGGTGTTCCTGTTTAGTAACATTTCAGTTCGGCAAACATCTTAATTTCCCAAATGGTCCTATTTTAATGTCTTGGTGAATGTTGCATTGCCACAAAAACTTGGGTAGCACTTTATTTGAAGGCGTGTGGATAAAACTGGCATGACACCGTCATGAACATGACATAAACATGAAGGAGTCTTTATGAATGTTTATGACTGTTGTCATAAAGTGTCGTTCGGTAAATAATGACACTTTTAATGCAAAGTTGCTCTAAAAGTTGCATTGAAAGTCCATTAAAAATGCCAACTTTGCATTAAATTATCATAATTTACAAAATCATGCAAAGTTGGCACTTTTAGAGCAACTTTGCATTAAAAGTGTAATTATTTACCGAATGACGCTTCATGACAACTGTCAGAAACATTCATAAAGACTCCTTCATGTTTATGGCAGGTGTTATGTCATGCCAGTCTTATGCACACCCCTTCTAATAAAGTGTTACCAAAACTTGTACATGTGATAAATAAACACACGAATAAATCTGCAGCTTTCATGACTTTCTGCTTTAGATCAGTTGTAGTTACTGACTGCTCTGTGGAGAAATACAAAATTCAATGAGTTATTTCTATTCTGGAAATGGAAATAATTGGCAATGAAACAATTCAATTTAAAGTTAAGTTTAGCTCTAAATATGCTACTAGAGCTTCTTCATGTCCTCTTTAAATAATTTCTGATTATTTAAACAACCAGCATCACTGAATCCTCAGAATTCTTAATTTTTTAAATAAAATTCTGAGAAAAAAAATCTGAATTTTATTTTTTCAGTGGTCCTAGTCCTCTTCTGTTGTTTTGCGATATTTTGATATGAATGTGCAGCTCTGGAAAAAATTAAGAAATCAGAGAAAAACTACAGTTTCTCTGATTTTACTCTTTATAGGTAAATGTTTGAGTAAAATGAACATTGTTCTTTTATTCTATGAAGTACTGACAACATGTCTCTGAAATTCAAAGAAAAAATTTAGTTTTTATTAGCAGAAAATGAGAAATGGTCAAAATAATGAGAAGGATGCAGCGCTTTCAGACCTCAAATAATTCAAAGAAAACAAGTTCATATTCATTTAGAAACAGCAAACCTGATGTTTTAATTCAGGAAGAGTTTAGAAATGAATATCCGAGTTTAGAAATGAATATCTGAGTTTAGAAATGAATATCCGAGTTTAGAAATGAATATCTGAGTTTAGAAATGAATATCTTTCAGTCGAGTTCAGGGCTCTTGATGTTTTCCAGAGCTGTAGTAATTTTGCTGTCGTATTTTTTGCAGGTTAACTTTTTGATTTATTGACTTTTGGCTGTTTTTCCAGAAAACATTTCTGTTTAATGGGATGTTCACTAGAGACCACGCCTGATTGATTGATTGTGAGTTTATTTATTTATTCATTTATTCATTGACTGACTGACTGACTTGGGTTTGTTTACAGACTGGCAGAAATGGAAAACCAGAATTGCTCATTCTTCACGGATAGCCTGTCTCCAGACGAGAGCCTGTGAGTATGTGGCCACACAACAAACGCCCTGATTACAGTCGCTGCTTTATGTGTGTGTGTGTGTGTGTCTGCGTGTGTGTGCGCGCCCTTTGGCCCTGAAGACATCATGTTTGTGCTCCAGCTTGAACATGCATGTTGGTCTGTTACTGTACGACTGGGTAATCATGTAAGTAATCGTGCACATAATGGGACTGACCCACATGGAGCGTCGTCCTCCTTCATGCGACTCGCCTGCTGCGGTTCGAGTCTCTGGATTTGTGTAGATAGTGGAGGGAGCCTGTTTGTAGGACTTGGCTGAGAGTGAGTAGCAGTAAGTGGAAGAAGTGTTATTTTGATGTGAATGAGGCAGTCACTTCTCATTGTGGAAATCTGAGAGTGGAGAAAGAGGGTTAGAGTTGTTGGAAGCCATCCTTTGAGTCCGTGTCTCACTGTTTGTTGACATCGGTGTGAGCTGTCGAACGTTTGCTCCTCTGAGATTGTTTTTCTCTTTCATTGCACTTTAAAGTCGTCGCTGTGTGCCCAGCAGCCCTGTGCACAGTGTTGTATGGTCTTTGGGGCTCCAGGTGCATCTCTCAGTGTGTGCATTGTGAAATGTGCTCATTATTTCTCCTCAGATGAATGTTATGTCTGTCTGCCTCTGAGAGAAGGCGGTGATTGACACCACATAAAGAGCAATTTTTTTATTTTGTCTAAAACAAAAGTTGGTAAAAACAAGTTTTACCTCTGACGTCAGTGCTTCTCAAGCCTTTGTTCATACATGCATGCATCTTAAGAACTCCAGCATGTGACTCTACAAGTATGTGTATCTATAATTGAGCTCCTGAGCGTGTTTGCTGTGCATGACAAGCCGCTCGGTTCCAGTAGCAGCATTGCTTTCTGCTCTTGTGGTCTTGTATTTGGGGTTGCTTCTGCAGACCCGTCACTCTGTCTGTCAGTGCAGCTTTTTTTGCCGCATGGCTCCGAACGTGCTGCTGTGCTATCTGCGTCTCCAGCTGGTGTTTTGGCTGCTATCATGCTGTTTTCTGTCCTGACTCCTGCTGTCTCTGTCCACAGCTTTCTCCACTCCCTCATCTTTCTACATTGCTCTGCACTCACTGTACTTGCTGGCAGGAAACGGAGGTGAAACACGGTCACAGCCTCGAAAACGTCTTCATTCCCCTTGACGTTTTTCACATTTTTGTCACGTGAAAATGATAAATCTCAGTGGAATTTATCACAATTTTATTAGATAGATCAACATTAGTATAAATGAAATCGTTCCTTTTTAGAACCTGTTTAGCTTTTTTTAACTTTGTGCACATTGCATCACCAAAAATAAAATAAAGTGCAACAATAGTCTCCGAAAAATTTAGCTGAATACTTAAAACTTTTTCTCTGCACATTTCACGATATTCTCAGAAAATCAAATCTCTCTTCTGTTAAACTGTATATAAAATAAAATGATTTTTGTGTTTACACTCCTTTATTCATCTGAATAAAGGTAAAATACAAAACTACAAGAACTTACTTTGACAAAAGTAATTTTGGTCTAGTTTTTAGTGCAATAAAACTAAACTATTTTAAAAGATATACAAATTTGTTTTAAGTCTATAATTCCTTAATACTGATGAAAAAGCCATTCAATTGGCAAATTATATCACTTGTAATAAGACATTTGTCCTGTGTTTTAAGTGAACTAGAACTTTTTCATCAATATTAAAGAATTATTGACTTAAAATAAACTCCTGTTTCTTGCTGAAAAGTTACTTGTAAGTTGGTTTTGTTTTATTTAAATTTATGACGATAGTTGCACTAGAAATTAGATCAAAAATCCTTCATACGGTTTTGTGTTTTTGCACAAAAACACAGTGTGGGAGCAAAGCGTTCAGCCTCCATATTCGCAAACCCAATTTAGGTAAATCCCCAAAGACATGCAGCTGCAGTTTCAGTAAATTCTTTGAATAATTTTGAATTAATATTTAATTCAAGAACATTTAATTTCCCTTTGGGATCAATAAAGTATTTTTGAATTTGAACGGTTGGTCCACAAAATGTCGACTGCAAATCCATGCTACACTTCCTCAGATTTGTTTTCCATGATTACCTTGAAACTCAAGAAGCATTTTCCATCTATATTGCGGTTATGCTATACTTTATATTGATTTGCTGCTTAAAATCTCATTAAAAATACTATAAAGTTTTTATTTTTAATGTCACAAAATGTAAAAAAGAATAAATAGAAATTAAATGTATGATGTTGCTCTATTCAGTCAGAATATCAAAGCAATCTTACAGTAAATTTCAAAGCTAATCAACAGATAAATATTTTTGATATATTTTGTATTGCAGAAGTTTTGTTGCTACATCCATTCGTGCTGCCTTTGCCACACATTGAGGAAAAAGCTGCAGGGGAAGCAGCTTAAGCAGAGATTTCCAGAAAGCCTTCTCTGAAGCTGCCTTCTCCAGCTTATCTGCCGGGACTCTGAGGTGTTCAGATGTCAGATACGAAATCTAATCTCCCCAACAAGTCAATGATTTGCCAGGAGACCTCCTGTTAGTGGGTCATATCTGAAACACGCCCTCCAGGAAGGAGCTCATGAAACTTCCAACCTTTAAATTAAAGAAGCCCATTTCTCCTTCCAGCTCTTCCTAAATAGCTGGAATCTTAGTTCTGTCAACAAGGCTGAGTAGCAGCAATGAGTCACCGTGAGGAAGAGGCCCTCTTCATACGCTCGGATTTGCAGTCTCATTATTTTGGACGCTGCTCTTCCTGAAAGTCATGACCAGGCCAGAGTTGGAAAATAGATCTTTAATTTGAAAGATTGTGTTTCTCCTCAGATCTTTTGTCTCTTTTTCCAAATGACACAAATTGAAACACGACAATTTCCAAACAAGACGTTTCTACACTAGAATGAGGTCATAAAATATATTTCACAGAATGGTAATGGAAACATTTCTTTTTGCATCACACAAGTCACACAATCAGCATCCAGATGTTGCTACTGAACACGATGACAACAGGAAGTAGCAGGACGGTGATGGTTTGTTTTGTTTTTTCTGACGTTGTGCAGCTTCTGTAAAATTGCCGACTAAAATTTCCAAAATGCAGCCTACAGAATGTAGTTACTACCAAGTATAAGACACCGACATCTTCTCCTCTGAGGGCTGATGAACATTAAAAAACGCCACATAAGTCTGATGTATTATTACTATTATTAAAATGAGGACTGGGAGTTGGTACATTCCCTTTTGGCTTGATTTTGTCATTTGCTTCGGGGCTTGTAAAAGTGTTTCACGTATTATTAATTTGTTTTCTGAAATGTGCCTTTGTTTTGAAAGTTGTAAAAGTTTTTCAGATTTTGTAGGGTTTTGGACCTCCCAGCCACCGTAGCATCCTGTCGCCACACTGAGCAGCAAAGAGCGATGTGTGAAAGAAAGTTGTTCTGAGGCAGTCTGCAGGCCAGCCTGTCACGACGACGTATTTTCCTGGACAATAAACGACTATATAGTTATTTTGAGTCCATTTTCAAGTAATTTATTGGTAAAAATAATGCGAGTTTGCCCTCTCAAAGACCAATCAACTTTAATCTTCTGAAGAAAACTTAACACAGGAACTGAAAGATATTTAAATATCCAAAATGAACACCAAAATACAGTAAATAAAATGGAAATAAAAACTTACGTACAACCAAAACCATAAATAAAATGGATTATAATGTCTCTATACACACATAAATACTAATCATGAGAATTGAAATTATTGCGCTCATGTTAATCTATCATGCGATTAATTGATTAATTGTTAATGCGACAGGCTGTGGTCTGGGTTGGATTAAAACACATTAAATAGATGCAGAAATGAAGCTGGGGATTTTTCCAAATATCACCACGACGTTTAACCAGGCATAAAAATAAAAAGGTTATAACTTTCTGTTAACTTTAATCCAATAAAGTTGTCTCCACTGGCAGAAGTATTATTACCAGACATAAACTGCAAAATAACTGTCTTTCCATTACATCCATTACAATAATTGCCAGACAGTTAGACATCTATTTATTGCCTCAGGTCTGCTGTAATAGAGCCTCACATTATCTTTTCTATTTCAGTGTCAATGGTGATTTTATTATTTTTGGAGCTGCGTTGTGTTGAAGTTAAAGATGAGCTCAGCCGTTTTGGTAAATGTCAGAGGTTTAATGGTGCGGTGAGCCGGGTTTCTCCCATCCTGTTTGGTTTTGTCTCGTCCTGTGACCCCCGTCCTCATCATCCCGCTTGCTTTGCTTTGGCTGTGATGCCGCGCCGTTGGCTCTGCTTTGTGCTGCTGGTGGCTGTGTGCTGGTGGCTCAGTGTGCTGTCTCCTGTGTGGGGGACTCAGGGATGAAGATCAGTACCTCCTGCGTCACTCCAGCCCAGCCCTGGACCACGATTCACCCTGCGGGCAGCACATGCTGCTGGCTCACCTGGAGCATCAGGACAAGGAGCAGCTCCAATGCACCCTGGCCCGCCTGGAGAACGAGAACAGGTCTGTAGCTGGGAAAATGTCCGAACGCTTAAGTTTTGACTTATGCACAACAAACCCTGAAGTATTTATCGACCGAGCTGATCATTTATGGAAAATAAAATGGAAGTAAACCAGATATATCCACCAATACTCATCAGAAATAACAGCTTTGTTGACTATTTGCACTGGAAAAAATACAAAATCTTACCAAGTATTTTTGGTGTCGGGTTTACTGCAAATACCTTAGTAAACTTGTAATAAGACAAAACTAACTTAAAAAACATTTTAGCAAGAAATTATTCACTTGGTTTAAATACATAATTCTTTAATGTTGATCCACTGACAGATTATTTCACTTACAACATGGAAAATCTAAATGTAAAATGTAAAACTAAGCCGTATAAACCAGTTTTGTTTCTGATGCCATATGTTTCCAAAAATTTATTTTTGACCATAGTTTTAATATTGTTTTATTTTTTAATCTTGTCCTAATGACAATCTTGGAGTCAGTGGCAAAACTAACAAGTTTTCAGCCACATGTAGGAGTTTGTTTTAAGTAAATAAGTCTTAATATTGTTAAAAATGTACTACTTCTACTGGCTGATTATTTCACTTATAGCATTTTTCTCATATTACAAGTGAAATAATCATCTGTTAAGGAATTGCCGACTTAGGCTGCATTCACACTGCAGCCTGAAGTCCGATTCTTTTCGAATGCGACCCAGGCGACTTGGGTATCCGATTCAAATGTGACCGACCTGAACATCATTGATACTCAACAATGTCACTATTCTACGTCCTGATACATGCAAGAGGCAATAAAAACAACCATGACGGACTGTAATGAAGATTAAGTTGTTAATATGCTGCTCCGGTCGGACAGCATCTTCAAATATGTAAGCTAAGCTCCACCGTTAGCCTCCATGTTTACTTCCGCAAACACTGAACACTTCTTCTTCTTTTTATGGTGGTTGGAAAACACTGAGAACTCCGACGCTATTGCGCCCTCTACTGCGCAGTGTGAACGCAGCCTTGAACTAAGCTCCTATATCTTTCTGAAACGTTACCTGTAAGTCAGTTGAATAAGATATTTACACTAAAACTAGACCAAAAATACTTGATAAAATGTTTTTGCAGCGTCATCTCCTGGTTTAGTGAGACAAGCTCAATAAAAGTGTGCAGGCGTTTATCATTTGCACTGTTCTCAACAATATCTCCTGCTGAGAGTAAACACACTCAAAATCTACAGTCATTTGAACAGCCAACTGAAAATAAAGAAGAAAAAAACCCACTCTGAACACATAGCTGTCAGCCAAATGTGTACAGCAGTGTGATAACATGGAAGAAGCTGTAAATCGAGCTTCGCTTTGACACCCTGTGTCCAAAAGAGAGAGGAGAAAAGCTCCTAATGAACTGACTGGTGTGATGCAAGAGGAAAAGCAAGTCTGAAACACAAAATATTAATGCTTTGATTTGGATTTGTATGTGCTTGGGGTTCAGACATTTTCCATAAATGACGCTAATTCATTTTCTCCTACATGCACTTAATTTGTCACCAGAGGCATCTTTATGCGAATGATTCATATGAATAATTGTCTCGTCCTCGCTTTGCAGTGACCTTTACAAACCTACAGCAATGTAAACTCGCACATGCTGACAGCCTCCAGGTGTTGGAAACCTTGACCAGATTATTATTTCTATTTTTCTCAAAATGCCCCAACATGGTGTTTGTGTAGTTTTGTGTGTACACGCAATAAATCAGGGCCACAAAGAAATAAATCCACTACATAGCTGAAAAAACCCAAACTAACAGCATTAATGAGAACTACTCGTGTGTTTTGAGTCAAGACTAAAACTTTATTTTGAATACTAGGACACATTAAAAGGGATCTGGTTCCTACTGTGGTTTAATTATCTAAATCTGATCTTTAAATGTAGTAAAAATATAACTGGCTAGTAGTGATGGACAGTAAAGTACATTTATTTGAGCACTGCATTCAAGTAAATATTTTGAGTATTTTGAGTCTTTGTTTTTTGGGGAACTTATGACTTTTGACTCACTACATTTCTGTAGTCCAGCTGTCCAGAAGTCCATTAGTTCAGTTTAGGTTGCTAGGTAATGGCCTGGGCTTCCTGGGGTTGCTAGGTGAAGGGCTGGGCTTCAGTGGGGTTGCTAGGCAACGGGGCTGGGCTTCCGTGGGGTCGCTAGGTGAGGGGCTGGACTTCCATGGGGTTGCTAGGTAACGGGGCTGGGCTTCTGTGGGGTTGCTAGGTGAAGGGCTGGGCTTCAGTGGGGTTGCTAGGCAACGGGGCTGGGCTTCCGTGGGGTCGCTAGGTGAGGGGCTGGACTTCCATGGGGTTGCTAGGTAACGGGGCTGGGCTAATTTGTGACGTTTTTGAAATGGGAATATGTCCTTACTCGTTCCTTTTGGCTCAGCAGAGCTTTGTAGTCCGCTGTTGCTGTTTTTTTTGACTGACATGCGATTGTGGGGACGTTTTAAATAAATAAAGAAAATAGCTTTAATTTTTTAATAGCATTTTATGCTGAAGTTTTTACAAGTAGTGTAGATTTTTTTGTAGTAGAGTGGTTCTACATGTCAGTACAATCAGGTGGTTTCAGCAAGTTACCTGATTTTATTAGAAAATATAATTTCTACTTTTGAACACTTGAAGTATTTTAAAAAGTAAGTACATCAGTACTGAATAAAGTTTTGAGCAAGCAACTTTTACTTGTATTTGAGTAAGATTTGATTTTGAGTATCGATACTTTTACTCAAGTACTGGAGTTGAATACAATATGGAAAGACTCAGCAATGATAATTTAGATTGACAAAGTTTTTAATCTCAGTGGGTTTTTTAATCCAAGTAAAGGATAAATAAAAAAGTACAATAAAATAGGTCACCAAACAAGGTTAAGTTCCTAACGTCTACAGAGTTCAGACATTACTGTACTTAAAGAAATTGTAAAAGACTAGACTCTTCATCTCAGACTCCACAAAGCTCAGTTAGGATCTAAAGTGTTAAAGTTTATGACAGAATGATTCAGAAATGGTTTGAGGTTTTTGGAAGAGTTTCCCTGCTTCAGTTACAGGGAGCCACAACATTGCAAAAACAAAATCAAAGCATTTGAAACTTGAAACAGATTCTATTTCAAGTTTACAAAGCTAGAAGTAACTTTAAAGCAAGATATAGAAACTTCTTTTAAGTCAATAATTCCTTAATATTAATGAAAAGTACTGGCAGATTTTTTTCTCTTATCACATGGTTAACTAATCTGCCAGTGGAACTAATACTTTTTTACTGATATAAAGGAATTATTTACTTAAAACAAGCTCTTTCAACTTGCTGAAAAGTTACTTTTAAGTTAGTTTTGTTTTATTTTAAGTTTACTAAGATATTTGCACTAAATACTAGACAAGAACACTTGGTCAGATTTGGTGAAGATCTGCTAGTTTTGGCTGTGACATTTAGAGAAAACCAAACACAGCATTAAGTCCAAACTGGGTCATCATCAGAACCACCAGCTACAAATCCAAGAATGACTGAAGACCCAAAGAGTCACTGCAAGTGCAAGAACTTTAGAAAGTTGTGAATAAATAAATGAACAAATAGTTGCTCTAAAGCCCTCCACACACATGCAGGGGATTGATTAATTAGATTTTATTGCTACTTATCAGATTTTCCAAAACAAGTTCTGCAACATCTGACTTAAAATAAGTTGTTTTGTTCTGTTGGAAGACAGAATATGTAACTAAAAGTTAGATAATTTGCAGCATCTAAAATGTAAATGTATTTCTCATTTGCACAAGTACAAAGATAAGTGTTAAAACCGACTCTTTATTTACTTTGGGAAAAGTCATTTTAACTTTCAGATGAGTGGTTGGAGGCATGTTTACCACGGCGTTGCATCAGCTTTTCTTTTAACATTTGATGCACTACAGAACTCAGGAGACTAGTTAGAAGAAGCAAAATAACTTGAATTTTTTTTTCTAGTTGCCAGATTGAAAGTACTCAACATTTTTGGACTATTGTGCTCCATTTTCTTATGTCCTAACACTCCAAATTGCTAGAGGGAGTCGCTTTGGGACAATTAGACTGGTATAGGATCAGAATTACTCATCAATCTTGTTGGAAATGTTGCAGAATAAATCCTGATGGAGACATAAGCAAGATGCACACATAAATGGAAACAGATTAAAAAAAAGCAAACTGCTCACAGCTCTTTTGTTTTTACCCTAAAAGTTGCAGTGAAAGATTTGGTGACGAGTCCATTAAGTTTTTAATTTAAATGATGCCTAAGAAAGAAAAAGTCCTGTTCTTTCTCTTAATGCCAGTCTTTGCTTTCTGCTGCTCCAGACACATCAGTGTCGGTGGCCTGCAGGTCAGCGTGTCCAAAATCAAATTAATTAACGATGCATCACGGGTCTACAAACTCTGAACGGTTTTTCCCAATATTGTGTCACATCAAGGAGAAATAGTGCGTGCTGAGTATTAAAGCTTGCATTAAAGATGATTAATCTCAATGGGGTGAGTTGTCAACATTCATTTGCGTTATAGTACATTTGTAGTTATAAATGTAGCGCGCCACACTGAGCAGCGTCTCATTCTAAGTGAGATTATTCCAGTTGCACTAAATGTTTATGTACATTTTTCTGTTGGAGGCAAATAAATATACATCATATTGATATTTTTTTGCCTCCTGCATCAATAAGTTGGCCTGACGGCTTCCTCATCCGGCCTCCGCTGTGTGTCCTCAGGGTGCTGCAGAGCGAGTACAGGCGACTCAAGTGGAAACATGAAGAGGCGGCGGCACTTCCCATGCTAACCGAGGCTGGTGAGGGCGGCCCCGGGTCGCCCACCGCGGGAGGGGCGCAGGATGAAGAGCTGCTGGCTGAGGCGCGGGTGCTGCGGCAACACAAAACGCGCCTGGAGACCCGGATGCAGATCCTGGAGGACCACAACAAACAGCTGGAGTCGCAGCTGCGCCGACTGAGGGAGCTACTGCTACAGGTGAAAGCTTTAAATCAGAGGTTTAGCAGATGCAGTCAGGATGAGTTTCAGGTTTGGATCTTTTAATGATTCTCCTGTTTTTGGTGAAATGAGCTTTAGTGTTTTAAAAATCTGATTTATTGTATCTGTTCAGGTTTGAGTTGATAAGGGAGAAAACGATGCGTTCATGTTGTCCAGAAACCTCCAGAGACGCTGCGCTCTGGACCGCTTCACATTGATGTTGGCGTGTTTTATCCCACATCATCGCTGATGTCACAACGAAAAAACTATCCTGATTTCAGAATTTTGACTTTGATCCGTCTCCAAATTAAACTTTTCCCTGAGTTTCTTTCCTCCAAACTCCAAATGTTTTCTTTGGAGTTTGACTTCAGTTGCCAAATTTCGTTTTTCCGATGAATAATTTTTTTCTCTGATTTTTGACTTTAATTTCCAACTTCTGACTTTTCTCAGAATTCCTGTTATATTTATCTGATATCCAACTCATTTTCTAAATTTAGACTTTTTTTCTACCAATTCTGACCCTAATTGCTGATTTTTGACTTTTTTCCTTTGAATTCTGATATTTGTCTCTGAATTACAAGTTTTTCACTGAATTTTGAATTTGTTTTTTGTGTTTTTCAGATAATTTCCTTGCTTTAACAGCCAGCGGTGTCCAAATTCAAACTTTTTTGACACATTTGAGTTAATTAGAGGCTAATTTTTGGATGTATTTTTAAGACCATGTCCTACATGAATCCCTGACGTATCCGTTCTCCTTATTGTGGCATTTAGCAAATAGAAATAAAGGAAGAGAAATGGTTTGATTTAACTTCATCAGACTGAGAAAATAAGTGTTTTTATTCAGTTAATTTTATCTATAGAGCACAAATTCACAACGAATGTCGTCTCAACAAACAAAAAAAGGTACTTGTAAATCAAAAATATAAAATAAGTCAGAAGTATTAAGTGATATACAACATTGTTAAACAGCTGGTCAGCAGTTTAAGGCAGAGGATGTTTTATGGTCGTTCTCATCACTATACATCTTAGACATTCCACAATAAAATTAAAGTGGCTAATTAAAGCTCAAAATTGATATATATTCATTTCTAAACACAGCTGTAATCATTCTGCACCTTATATCATATAAAGTCTGTTTATTTTGTGTAATTCCCCTTTAATTTAATAAAGTTTTGTCCGTGTATCTTGTTAGGTTTGCATGTTTTTCCCGTTTATTTGGTTCAAGTTCAGTTTCCCAAGAGGAGCTTCTCCATTTAATCTGAAATAAATCAACATTAACTATTTATAAAACCAAAGAAGAAGAAAAAACACATTGCCCTCTGTCTGGTGCAGTGGGGTTTGTCTGCAGACATATCTGTGTCTTCTCACTCGTTTAGCAAGCAGATCCCTTTCTCCATCAGGTGTTTTGTGTGTGAATTATAATGTAAGAGTCTGTTTTATCGTTGATGGATGAGAGCATGACTGAACCGGAATGACAGCGTCTATTATTCTGCAGAGCATTTATCATAAAAGCCGTTTCTATGTGCAGCATTAGACGGTTAATACCAAGTATCACTGAGTGGCATGAAGATCAATCCTTCTAGGTGTTTCTTTGTTCCACAGTAACTTTCTCTCTCATTTCTTTTTCTGCATAGAGATGGGAAAAAAATTAATATTTATATAACTGCATTCATACGAGTGCAGAGAGCAACAATGGAGCCTATAAAGAGGGGAGGGAACGGGAGTACAAAGAGGTACAGTACAAAAAGACGAGGATGAACTGACACTGAAGGGTCGTATTAAAAGATTCACTGCAGTATAAAGGAAACGTATAACAAAGAGCGGTACAGGAGAGTGGGAGCTGACTCATGCTGTTACCATTATGACACTGTGTAAATTATTAAGTAAGAGTAACTAAATTGCACATTCAGGTCAGTGAATGAGGGGAAAGCAGAGGGACAAAGATGAGAAAGACAGTAAGAAAGAAGGACGGCATGCTGCCTCTTATGTTCGCTAAGACTTGGAAATGGAAAGTGAACAGAGGAAGAGGAGGAAAAGTGCTCAGTGTATTCCTGCTTGTGAGGAAAAAAACTTTTTTTGAGTTATTTTTCCTTGTGGAAGGATATTACAGATTAGTTTCTTTGGAAAGTCTGGAAGCCGTAATCTGAACGTGTGGATCCGTTCCGAGTCTCTGCAGACGTTAAACTCCTCCAGAGGACGGCTTCCGGGTTGCTAAAAACAAAAACACGCCGTGTTGCATCTTATATTTTTGTGTCGCATCGTGCATGTTTGATTGTGCTGTGAGTTTTAGAGCAATGCTGACATTTTAAGTTTGGTTTAAAGCACAGGTGTCCAAAACTGACAAATTCATTAAACTGAAAATGCATAAAATGATTTAATATGATTCTTCTGTTGTTGTTGTTTTACCTGCTCAACAATAAAAAAATTTAATGAAATCTGGATATTATTAGACTGAAAACTGATCAACAACAAATAAAATAAAAACTGTTTGTCAGGCATCATTCTGATAAACAAAATCTTCTGTCTTCAACTTGAGATTAATGAAATTTCACAGCTTGATGGACTATTATGTTCTGCAAATGGTCCAAAACTAAATCTATTTTATTTGCTGTGGCAAGACCTTAAAATTAATCTTCATAGTAGCTCAATCCAGCTTGACAATAATTAGTAAAAAGTTTTTTCCACCTGATATGCAAAGCAAGTCGAGACGTTTCCCTAAAGACCTGCAGCTGCAGTGACGCGTTTCTGCAGAGTGTTGACTCAGGGGCTCTGAATACAATCACAAATTTAGTTTGTAATTATGCACCTTCTGTTGGTCTGTGATAAATCCAATTATGACGTCCAAAGGGTACAAACACTTTGGCTTTGCGCCGTACCGCCCGTTCTTTTGTTCTTTTATCTGAAATGACTTTACAGCTTTAAAAAGGTGAAGACCCGTAACTGAATGACTGTTTTATTTCTTCCCCCAGCCCAAAGATGATTCTGAGGCGAACGGATCCGAGCTGTCGACGCTCTCCTCTCCGGTGTCAGGAGGCGGGCGCCAAGGGGAGCCGCCCAGCCGGGAGACGACCGACACCGAGGCAGCAGGTCAGCATCAAGCGGCGTCACAGAAACCCGTGAACATGCTGTAGGAGAAAACACACAGTTTCTTCACAAACACTTCCTACCAATCTGCAAAAACACACAGTCCCACCCAATATTTATGGCTTAGTTCCCACTGCTAATATCTTAGTACACTTGAATTAAGACAAAATTAACTGACAAGTAGCTTTTTAGCCTAGGAACTGTTTTTATGTCAGTAACTCCTTAATGATGAAAAAGTTCTAGTTAAAATGGGAAAAGTGTTTTAAGTGAAATAATCTGGCAGTGGAATTACTTTTTTGAGCACAAATTGACACTTGTCAAGTTTTTATCCCTAAAATTTTATTATTGACAATTTCTATATGTTGCCAATAACTATCTTACTTGTAAGTTAGTTACTTATTTCAAGTGTGCTAAGACATAGCAATAGAAACTAAACAAAAAGACTTGGATTTGGTGATAAATCACAGTATTTAAAGAAACTAATAAAATATAACAACATGGGAAATTTGTCTTGTTTTAAGTAAAATAATCTGCCAGTGGGATTACTGGCATGAATCAAACTCCTATACCTTGATAAAACGTTACGTGTGAGTTAGTTTTGTCCTATTTTAAGCAGATTAAGATATTTGCAGTAGGAACTGGACCAGAATTCTGTTTTTTTTCCGGTGCTAACGGGTTAAAACTGTGTCTGTGTCAGGAGATGATTTGGAGCGCGAGCAGGACACCGTGCTGCAGCTTCAGGAGGTCATCGAACAGCTGAGAAACGTCTTCCCCTCCGAGCCGGGTGAGTACATCCAGCCTGCACCGATCTCTGCCCCGGGGAGAGGAGACATGGAGAGGAGAGCAAATATGTACTGCTGCGGGTCGATAGGCAGGGAGGGAGGGATGGGAAGATTAAATGGCAAAGAGGAGGAGGGCGATAAGAGTGACACATCGACTGTTGCTAAGAGAAACGGTTAGCGTCACTGTCAGACTTATAAATCATCCCAGTGCTGTTATGATACAGCCTGCAAGGCCGTTTAGCTGCAGATCTCTTGGTCTGTTTTTTCCATCTTCCGCTCCTATATCTCCTTTCTTCTTTAATTTCAGGCACCACATCACACATCTAACCCTGCGAGGGCCTACAGAAGCAGAATGACAGCCTGAAACGAGGCCCGAGGTCAGGCGGCGGCACCTCAAACCCTGCGACTGCCACGGCGGCGCCGACATTAAGAACTAACTCTCGTCCGGATCGCTGTGCACTAAAAGCCTTTCTCATGCAAACTGCCAGAGGCTCACACTGACGCCCTTTCTGGCCAGGCTGTGCTTCGTCAGCTCAGTGACGGCATGTTAAGGAGCCAGGAGGAAAATATCGTTAGCAGAAGGTCAGGGGGTCAGAAACAAGAAAACGAAACGCCCAACCAAGACACTGTGCTTACCAGTATTTGTGTAGTTGTTCAGAGGTGTGAAGCTTTATATCAGATCAGAGCACAAAGTCCAGAGGAAGAACTGGAAAAATACAAAACTGGAGGGGAAGGGAGTCACTTGTGTACGACTTCGTTTAGAGCCATCATAGACAGAAAAAATGAGTAAATTTCAGATTAATCTCAGAAATTTCCAAATTTTTTCTATGAAATTCCTGAGATTACTCTCAGGTTTTCTTGGAAATCTTTGACTTTTCAAACTCATATTTCTGTTGTTTTTCAAGAAAATTTCTGGGTTTTGTCTTGCAAATGTTTTGACTTTTCAAAATCAAAAATCTTTTGAGATTACTCTGATTTTCTGAGGTTTTTCTCAGAAATGTTTTTCTCTCCATCGTGGCTCTGACACGCTGTCGTACTTGCGTGTTTTTTACGTTTGAATGTGTTATCATGGTTTATTTTTCAGATTCTGGTAATTGCATCAGGGCTCTGCTGACTGATTTCATATCACTAAGAGATGCAAATTGGAGCTGGCAGCCCCCAGAAGAGCGTTTTTGTCTTGTTTTTTTTGTGGGAATGGTGCATCATCATCAGTTAAATCCATGATTTATTAAAGACTGCCCGAAGTGCCCGCCAGCACAGCGCCTCTGTTTGCACACGCTGAACATCGCTCCTCACTCTGCTCGTCGCTCTCGTCTCCTGCCTCTCCTAAGTGAGCCCTTCACACGTTTGCTGCTATACATACACATCCCGATTCAACCTGCACTCTGCTTAAATGCACAAGGAGCCTCTGCATGATCAATAACGCGCTGTGCAGAAGCACACACTTTCATAAACCTGGAGATTGATTTATTTTCCCCCCAAATCATTCGGGTAAATTAGGTGTTCTGAGCCCATTTTGTATTGTTCCTGGATCTCTGCGCTGTTGAGGAAATGTATGCTGATCAGTATCAGCATGCATACCTCCTCCCCGGAATCTTATTGTTTTCATGCTGTGTGAAGAGAAATTGACAGAAGGAGCTCAAGGCTGAAGCCCTCCCTCTCTCTGCTTGGCCAATTTCAAACACAACGGGGGTCCAGACGCGGCTCACCGCCATGATGCACTCCGGCAGCATCATTATCCACAATAATCTTTTCATTCTATGTCGTTTTAAAGTACTCATAGCTCCGGATTGTGCATTTATTATTCCACTTTGATAGAAAGTATTTCCATATAGAAAAGGTTGTGTGATCGGGAGAGATGACTATTATTTATAAGCCTTATAAGAGTATTTATACCCCTTCAACTTATTCATATTGGAAACATTGCAACAAACAAAAAGTGGATTATTGGGAATTTGTGTTATGGACCAACAGAAAATGGTGCACAATTATGAAGAAGGAAATAAGTTGGGGGTTTTTGATTATAAGTGAAAATAATCACATGCATAGGTTAAAATCACCCTTTTAAATCCAACATCCAGTAAAACCAAACGGTCTTCAGTCTGAAGAGGGTTCACCTGTGAGCAGCTTGATCTCAGTATAAATCCAGCTGAAAGCCTCAGAGGTTTATTGATGAACAAACATCATGAAAACCAAGGAACAAAAACATAACAGGTCAGGGAGAACATTAAAACAGACTGAGGTTACATTAAAACAACCTTAAGTTACATTAAAACAGACTGAGGTTACATTAAAACAGACTTAAGTTACATTAAAACAGACTGAGGTT